CTGGGTATGGTACAGCCCTGTGATCCCAGTGTGCAGGGGGTCAAAGCAGGAGGATTGCCCTGAATTCCAGGCTGGCTTGGGCTTCACAGAGAACACCAGACCATGGAGAGCTACATGGTTCAATATTTCTCAAAAGACTCAACAACAACAACAACATCAAAAGAGATAAACAGAAAACAACTTAAGTGTGGAAATCTTAAGCCTGAGATACCTTTCCAACAGTCAGGCAGAAAGAACTGCACACATACCTGGCTGCATACCAGAGAGACAGAGAGAGCATCTGGTGCTGTTGGGATGGGATGGAATTACCCAGAGGAAGCACAGAACGAGAAGAGAAATATGTATTGTAGATAACATAGAGTAAGAGTTATAAGGTAAGACAGAGGCCAGAGCAGCTGGAAAGAGCATGGAAGCTAAAATATGAGAGTAGTTAACTATGGCGGAAAGCTGTCAGTCACGTGGGAAGGTGTCTTTCAACAGCAAGGCTATTGGAGTTAGCAATATGGAAATTAAAAACTCAAAATGAGTAGGTTTCTCAATGGGATGGGAGCAGCTTGGATGGGAGTGAACGGCTCTCAGGGGTGAGAGGCTAGGCTGATGCTCACCAACAGCACAACGATAAAGCAGAGAGCCAGCAGACTCTCACTTGAAAGCCAGGAGTGAGATAGGACCTCCTAAATTTTACCCAAGCCAAAGTTCTCCGCATTGGCAGGTCCGAACTGAACGTGGAAGATTCCCTTTACAGTCCTAGAAGACAATGTGGGTAAGAGGCTCTCTAGTCATAGCCTTTCCCCTGATCACCTCACCCATTCCTGGCAAGAGAGCTCCATTCCTGCTCAAACCTCACCCAGCAAATCTCTTGGGCGTTGTGTTGAGCGTTTGGGGCTTTTCTTCTGCCTCTGCTGAACAGCTTCTGGACACCCAAGAGGTATGAAGAAGGCACAGAGAAACTCCTAACACCTCGAGTTGATGAGGAGCTGACATTAACTTTCCCTTCTCTAGAGGTCATGCGATGCCTCCCAGTAGGCCTCATCTACCCATTAGACTTCAGCTACTGTTCTCTGGGCACACTCAACATATCCTAGTCCTTGCAGTTTAAAATGCTCTCTTTCCCTCTCCCCCTAAACCTCCTATTTTGGAATCCCCCTCACCCCCCCCCCCATTTGCCTTGGTGGATGTTCTCCATATTGTAGAGGCCAACTAGAAACATTGCACCTTCAGGAAGCCCTTCCTAGCTCCTCTTCTGGGCACTTCTCTTACTTGCTGCACAGCACTGGTTTGTCTGGTGTGAGGAAGTGAGACTACCACAAACCATTGTTTTCTTTGTGGTGCTGTTATATCAGGACACTTGGTAAGTATGCGTTCACTGCAGGCTGACTGAGAAAGCAGCGACTCTTCTTGATGGAGGAGGAAGACTTTGGACATTCTGCTGAAGACTGCATTAACCAGTTTCACCAGACCCGTGTTAGAAATAAGAAAGTGCTGCAAGTAATCACCAGCGTGGCTCCTCACAGACTCTCGGGGAAACGCTAAATCACTTGAGCGCAAGTTCAAGCTACAACATCATGGCCATCAGTGATTTAAAATGTTCCTTTAAAAGAAAGCTTCAAAATGGAAAGTAAACCCACTTTGGGATTTCATCCCACTCCAATCGGAATGGCTATAATCAAGGGGGGAAATGACAATAAATGCTGGCAGGGACAAGGGGGAAGAGAAACCCTTATTCAGTATTGGTGGGAGTATAAACCTAGTATATCTGTTATGGAAATCAGTATGGTGCTGTCTAAAAAGAATTAATATAGAACTACCAAGCCATACCAAACCACACCACACCACTCCTAGATATATGCCCAAAGGGTTCTATATCCAACAATAGAGATATCCATGTTTGTTGTTACAACTAGCTCAGAAGTCCACCAACAGAAAAATGGAGAATGAGAGTGTGGCACGTATATTCAGTGGAATTTTACTTAATCATAAGGAGAAATAAAATTATGGAATCTGCAAGAAAATAGATGGACCCACAAAGAATCCTATTAAAGTAAGGTGACCTGGACTCAGAAAGAGCAGAAACAAAACAATCCCCCCCCCATAACAACAACCCCCTCTCCAAATTTTCGTGTTGTCTCTTACACGCAGATTCTAACTTTTGGTGTTTGTGTGTATGTAAATGGAGGTGTGTGTGAGAGTGGGTACAGACTATGAAACTAGGTAGGAGGGCACCAAAGGGGAAAGGTCAAGCGGTCAGATGTAACAGGAAAGCAGAAAGAAGGCTACAGGGGTCAAAGAGCACGGAAGGGAAGGGGATTGGAGGTAGGGGTGGGATGAAGAGAAACAACAGCAAAATTTTTGTTTGAAAACCGCTGTCATAAAACCTAATTCTTTGTATGCTAATAAAAAAACCCCTATGCTCTCCCTCTCTTGAGGAAGTTCAACATTTAAACCACAAAGGCATGTTCTCTTTCAATTCTGAAACTAGTGGTTTCTTGCTGTTTTAGTTGTGGATTTAGTACTTCACAATTCTTTCCAAACTACTGAAAAGGCACCCTGCTAACCAGAACTTCACCGTGCCATGCTTCTGTGACAGAACACTGTATAGAAGTGAAAACCCAGCCTTCAGTGCCAGCCACTCATGGTACTGGCAAAAGCAGACAGGACAACCAACCAATAGGCAACAAGGACTTCCATGCAATTTGAGTCCCCATTATAAAGTTTGCATTGGCAAAGTTTTCAGGGCATAAACATTCTGAAGAAACTGGCTCTTTAAAATCTAGGCTCTAAAAACATAGCAATTATTACAACCACAAAGAGATAGGTCGGCTCTAGATACAGAGCTATATTAATGCAATTTATGATTTCTTGAGGACTGTTCTTGCTTTCCTGCACTAACAACACAGAAACCAGCAACTTTAAAATATTGAAAGTAGAAGTTACATGAAACAAATAAAATCTTTCCAAACCTCAACTGCAAGAATTCAGTAGGGAATGTCAAGGGACTGTACTGTAAGGAATTCATGACTGTGTAAATTGGTTCCAAGGTAGACACACCCTCCCCTAGACACAAGGAAGTTCCACTATCATATCTGTTTATAGCTCAACTTGACTTCTTTAGTACAATGTATTTTATGGAAGGAATTGGTATACACACACACACACACACACACTTTGTACTCACTGATTTACAAGGGACTTAAGACTTAAGACACAGAGGGTTCTCCTGTATAGTCTTGGGAAATATGAGGTTGTTCCCGCTAAGTCCCTCAAGGCTTCCTTTACTAGGGGATTCAGGCTTTGTGGAACCCCCCCCCCAGTCATGTTACTGCCCCTCATCAGGGTGAGGCCAGGGACATGAGATGGATGCCCATCCCTAGCCAGGCATTCTCTTACTTGGCTGAAAAGGATGAGTTCCAAACAGCCCCAAACAAAACAAACAGTTCTAACACACATGTGTAAAGATATAATCACTCTTTTCAGGTTGTGTCTTTTTAGATGGCATGATTCACCCAAAATAATATATCCCCCATTTCTCTCATTTCCAGAGACAAGAACACAGTGTGCCCAGGCATATTGCAAAGCAGGGCTCACATCTCTTTTCTACCACCAACCAGCTTTCTCTAGAGCTTTTATGCTTAAAGAGCAAAGTGCAAACTCCGGGAGGAAAAGGAAACAAAACGATCTGTCAAAATTCCTTTTAGCACCTATGACTAGTGTTAACTTACATGCTCTGAGAGTGCAAGAAAAAGCCCAAAAAGCTGCTGCTAAAAAGATGATTTGACCTTTTAAAACTAGAACTCCCCCATTCCATATCCATTTTAAATAGGTAAATCTTGGGAGCACCACAATTTTAGATTAAGAAATAAAATGAGGTTGATTTTCCAGAAAAAGGGGTTTCCCTAAAGACCACAAGCTAATTAGGGTGTTCTAGACCAACAATAGTAGGTAGAATGCAGGCCCCAAATCTCCTAGCCATATATAGTCGCCAAATGCACAGAGGAGCCTAGTTCTGAAAGGGACAGGAGGGCAGATGAAAATTTAGTAAATAGAAAAAAGTCCAGAACGCGACCTCCCAAAGCCTAAGGTTCCAGGGCAGGATGTCCGCCCCTTGTGGCAGCAGAGCCCTGGTGACCTAGGTGCACCGCAGCTGCCAAACCCTCAGCGCGCACCAAAGGGCGCTGCTGAAGGAAGTTGGAGAGCTCCCAGCCAGCTGACTGGATTCGGCGGTGGGCGCCTGGGAATCCCTTCCAGCGCCGTAATTAGGAAAGTTTTGAAAAGTAAAGACCCCAGACAGTTGAAGGGACTCATCCTTTCGTTGAGCCTAAGAAACATCTCGTGCCGCACCAGCCGGCTGCTAGCACAAGGCCATCAGTTCCGCTTGGCTCCGGAGCATCCTGTGCCTCCCAGCTAGCTTCCCACCGCCCCAGAACTGGTCCTTGGGGTGCACTGCCACAGAGGCGCTCTGCCCGGCTGGAGGTACCAGAGGGAGAAGCCGCTATGCTCACTGGCCTGGGTGGCGATGGCAGAACCTCTAACTCCCACTCGGACGCCCTGTACCTTCTCTTCTAAGCCGGCTTGGTTTCTCCAAAGGACGCACAACACAGACCATGCGCCCCCGGCACTCCACTCCTCTCCCCAAACTCTTCCCGGGGGGGACCCACAAACCCAGACTGCGCCCCCAAACTCCCATAACACTCGCCAACCACCCCATCTTTGCCTCTTGAACCCTCCCAGCCGCGTTCTTTTTGCGCCTCACTATTCTCCTCGCCTTTCTGAGGAAGTCAGAAGCAAAGCACGAGAAAATGCCTTCGCGAGGAGCCTCCCGTCACCCGCCCTGTCACTGAAACAAAAGCGCAGGGAGGAGGGAGGTGGGTGGGGAGGCGGGAGGAAGGTTCGGAGAGAGATGGGGACAACGGTAAGAGGGGCTGGGGAGGGGACCGGAATGGACAGGGGAAAGAGGGACCAGGACCCCGCTCCCGCGCCGCGTGGCGTGGCCAGTCGCTTACATGCCCAGGTCGCTGTAGGTGTTGAAGAACTCCATCTGGTTGCACGCCTGGATCCAGCCCACCACCCAGGTCTCGTGGCGGGGGATGGGGGGCATGACCACGCGGGCCGAGGCTTTGAAGTAAGGGGTCTTGTAGCGCAGGACGATGGGCGAGGTCTCCTCGATGCGCGTGGGGCACTGGTCGATGGTGGCGCACACATCGTACACCACGATGTTCTCGCGCCGGATCCGCGCCTTGCAGGTGATGCTTTGGATACAGCCCATCCTGCCGCCCGGCGCCGGCGCGGCGCGGCGTGGGGCAGCGCGGGGGCCCAGCGCGGGCAGCCGCGGGCGCCCGTCACGCCGGCATGGCGACGCGCCGCTCGCTCCCGGTCCAGCTCAGCTAGCGCCTAAGAGCGAGGAGCCACCGCCGCGGGGCATCCTCCGGGGAAGCCCCCTCCCCTTTCCGCGCGCTGGGTCGCGGCTGCCCCGACGCCCGCCCACGCCCGCCTCCTCGCTCTAGCAAGGGCGCGCGGAGCGTGCGCTCCTAGGAGGCGGCGGGCGCTCTCGCCGGCTCCCGCGCCCCGGCGGAGGGCAGGGAGGGGAGCGGCGCTGTGAAGAGTGCTGCCCACCCCGGGCCAGAGCCCCCCGCCCTTCGCCGGAGAGGAGGCGACGGTGGCGGCGGCATGGAGCTGCCGGAGGGTGGCGGCGGCAGCGCCCGGTCTGTCTGTTTCCGCGGCGGCAGCAGCAGCCGCCGCCGCCGCCGCTGCATGAACCTCTGCACCGCGGCTGCCCCCCGCGTGCAGCGCACCCAGCGGCGGGCGAGCGGGCGGCCCGAGCGGCAGGCGGCGGAGATCAGGTTCCCTCCCGCCCTCCCCGGAGTCGCACAGCGCCCACACTCCTGCACCCGGCCTCGGGGGCGTGGTGGGCGCCTGGGGCTTGTAGCCCTGGGTGGAGAGCCCAGCGGGCCAGGGCTGCGGGGGACGCGCTCAGCGGAAGAGACTGGCTGTACGCCATGAGTTTGTCCCTCTTCGGCTGCCGTCCGGGTGGGGGGGTAGTGTGCAAGGGTGGGGGTGTTTAAAGGGCCGCTGGCTCCCGGGCGGGGCCCTGCACGTGGGGCTGGGCGGGGTCGGGACCCCGATAGGTGGCGCCCGGCAAGTGGTAGTGGGGTGCAGACACCGGACCCTGTGTGTTGGGTGGGGCCGAGAGGACGCGGCGCTGTTCAGAGACCGGTGGGAACCACGGGGGTTAGGGACTCCTGGAGGCAGCCCAGGGGCTGGAGAGCCAGCTCTATCTGACCTTTATTTGTGGTATAGTTTGTTAGAGTTGGGCGTGCCCTCCTCTGGTGTCCTACCCGGAGGAAGGCTGAAGTGTGGGCTCCAGCAGTGACACTGAATGGATTTACCTCTTTCCCTGGCCCGCCTTTTCCTCTGGTTACTAGAGTCTAAAGCTTTTCTTTGCACCACTGTATGGAGAGTGGGTACCTGAGAAATCCAGCTGGAGACTGACACAGAGTCACCAAAATGCCAGTGAGAGTCGAAGCACGAGCTCATGGCCTGTTTTCATCCATCCCTTCCACAACCCTGGAATATACACTTTCATCAGTACAACACACACAGGGGTATTGAAGCTCCTAGGGAAACTCGGCCTTTTTCAATGTCTTGCATCCCGATCCCTAAGATAAGAATGCTTAGTTACCTTCCCAGTAACTAACCTATTGTGTTCAGGACCTTATGGAACCAGGGAGGATTAAAGAGTAACCATGTGGCCATACAAATGCCAATTTGTAATAAACCATCCACGCCACAGAGATCCCGGCATTTCAGGGCTTCTTTCTAGTCTTTGCTTCTCTGGAAGCTGCGTAGTGACCAGCAAGCACATAGTCACTTCCTGACAGTATGATGGAAGAGCAGTTTGTCTACAATTCTGATAGAGACTGCCCCCGTAGATGTGCGGTACATTTCTTTCAGTGTATCTGCCATGTGTGTGTTACTGCGATCTCAGTGTCAAAGAGCAAGAATATTTAACAGATTCTTTTTTTTTTTTACTGTGCATCTTCTCACATCATTTAGAGCCAGCAGATTCTTTTAGCGCTCTCTCTCTCTCTCTCTCTCTCTCATGATCATTGAGCATTTGCTGTATCTGGTACTCCAGTGAACTTTTCTAACAGGCCACAGGGGCCTGCTGGGAAAAGCAATTTTCTTCTTTGGTGACACGGCTCATTTTATGATGTAACTGCAGACCTCAGTCACGGATCCTTTTATTCAGCAAAAGCTTCCTGGTGGCTTGGCAGGAGCCAAGTATTGTGCTGGGTAATGGAGATTCAGAGTTGAACAAAAGCTCCTGGTTCACTTGACAAGGTAAATCTGGTAACAAGTTGTTACAGTCATCTGTGACACCACTTTAATAGGAACACATACCCAGTGCCATGGGAAGCCAGACAGATTTGTAGAAGGTTCTACCAAAAACGACAATTGAATTAGATCCTGAAGGACTGATGGAGGCTGGCCAAGAAGAGAATAGGGTGGCAGTGAAAAAGAGACGAGTGTGTCAAAAGCAAAATGCATAGACATGTGACAGGGATGTCCTTCTGTATGTTTCTCCTTTTGGTTGATGAGTAAAACACATATGGCCAGTGAGGCAGGAAGATAGGTGGGACTAGGATGAAGAGAATTCTGGGAAAGGTAGGCAGAGCAGGCTGACTCCAAAGGAGTAACAGGTGCAGACCCTTCTCCAGTAAGATAAAACCATGTAGAAATACTTAGATTAGTAATTATGGGTTAATAATTAAGACAGAGCTAGCTAACAAGATGCCCTAGCCACCGGCCAACAGTTTTATCACTAATACAGTGTCCTATGTTCTTTGGGGTTGAGGCGGCTGCGGGACCAAATTGGTGGGATGAAGAAAATCCAGCAACAGAGATGTGAAAGAATTGGGTCACACTGGGAGAAAGAAAAACTGCTGGAGGTCAAAGTGTTTCTCAGTGTTATGTGTGTGCGGTGGGCTTCAAATCTCTGTCCCAAGCCAGTTGTTGATGCAGAAGCTGATCTTCAGAGGAAGCTGATGAAAGCAAGTTCACAATTTGAGGGGGTGGGATGACTCTGCATAAACGTGGAGACTAGAAATAGGTAAGACTTCAGGATCTGCGGTGACACATGATTAGGCCTTGAGTTAGGGCAGAGCTGTGGGCCTCTAGAGGTCTGGCTGTGTCTGAGAGTCATTAGGAGGCAAATTTGATTTCCTCAGTGATTGATTAGTGTCAGAGGAAGGTCTGGGCCACCTATTGGGTTTTCCAGCTTTGGTGATAAATCTCGTGATCAGAAGACAAAAGTAGTAGTATATGTTGGGTTTATGATGAAATCGTGTTGGAGGTCCTCAAGAGCTTGTTTGGGGGAGACAAGAGTTTGAGTTTCAGTGGTTAGTATCTTCTAGGAAATAGACTGAAAGAAAAACTTCCAGCTGGACAATCAGGTTATCTTTCTCATTTGAATAATTTGTCAGTCTGTGGTTGTGTGGATATATATCTCCATTGTTTTCTGGTAGTACAAGCCAAGCTGACTTGGGAATGGTGTGTTAGCTGTCTTCAACTTGTAGAAAAAATTTGTAAGGAAGAAAATTTTTATTTTCAAAATTCAAAGTAAGACTTTGTTGTATCTAGTAGGAATGTCAATAAAATATATTATCTACAGACTTTGATCCATGACTCTCTTGAAGCATTTACCCATGACCTTGGTGAGTCTCCAGAATCATGAATGTCATCATGACATATAATTTCAACCATAAATGACAGTAAGTTGTAGCGATAAAATGTGAGGAGTCCTTTCAGACTCTTAATGGTTCTACAAATATGGGATTATGATAATTTCTAAAGGTATTTAAATAAGATTTACCATTAAAAATAAACATTTCATTACATTGCACCTTATCAATTGCATCATTACTTGAGTCTACAGGGGGAAAGAAATGAATTAGTATGAGACTTACTGTGTAAATGTCAATAGAAGAGTAGAGCTACACTATATGGGGACACAAATGCCAGGTGCTGAATGTGGCCCACACACTGGATATGTGGCTGGCAAGGACTCTCATTCAAATTTTCATGTCAGCAAACTGCTTCATGACATGAACCTTTTAGGACATTCATTGAGGACTGTTAGCCTTCCCACTGCTGGTTGTCAAATGCCAGTGTGCCTAGCCAGATGCAGGGCTCCCAAATCCAACAGCTTCTCTGTGAGACTCTCCTATGTTTCTCCCCTTCTGCTGGTGTTGGGGGTCCACCCTAAGACTGCCGAATTCTAGGCAAGTTCCCTGCTCCAGTGCTACACCTAGGCCCTCTTAGGTTTCTCCTTCCACCTTTTCACAAGAGTCTTCCTTACCTCTTGCAGCACCACACACTTGCCTTTGTTAGCTGCATTCATGCTCACACTGATCTCCTGAAGTAGAGAGTTTCCTCTTCAGGGGGACGTGCCATCATACTCTGTCACTCAGTTCAGTGTCTGCTATTCACTAAGCATTTACAAAATGAATCTATTCTTGGAAATATGAAGAAGCCTATTTCCCATCCCTCCCTGACAAACCCTGCAAATTGTCCTATTGCCTACAGTAAGGATGCATTTGGATCCTGATTCTTTCTCAATGGATTTCCAGTATGTTTGCCTGATGTTAATTGATGCCCTTTATCTTTAAGCGCTGTACATTGTCTGAAGGATTATCAGTTCTGGGTATCAAAACAGAAAAATTGGAAAAACTCAATGACAAGACCTTGATAACAATCATTCCTTATGCACAACTTCTTTGGAGCTTATTCTCTGACTGTGGCACACAAATGCTTCTTTGTTCTCAAAGCATTTGATGTTACTGGGTAGGACAGAGGTCCTCAGTTCCCTAGCTGGGGCCCTCCAGCATGTTCTGAGGGATTCCAGCCTGGGTTCCTCAGTTTCTGTGACCCTGTGCCCTGACTTTTCACAAGAGGGGGATCTCTGACTTTACTTTTCCTGTCGATTGAGTCATTACTCATTGCCAAGCATGCCTTTTAGAAATTATGGGTCATAAAGGCCTATCTTCTCATGGACCTTAGCAGGATTTTCCAGAAACTGAAGAGCAGACTACCAAGAGTTGAGGAATTGCCCCTGAAATAGCTGTAAATGGAGATGGATCCCAATCTGGCTGAGATGGCCTGATGACAGGCAAGAGGCTAGATGAAACCTCATGTTCCAAGCGTATAGGAGAGACACAGTTCCATTTAGGTTTATTATTTTGTGGGTTATGACTTTAGGACCAGAGTGACCAAATTTTATTC